TCAGGTTCTTTGGGTGAGCTCAATGAATGTTTCTAGGAAGAAGTGTGCACAAAAATATTTGGAAGAGTCCATATCCCATATAATTAGCATGGAACACAAACAACACCTCCCACCATTTCGGGGGTGTCTGTGTTTGATTTTAAGACACACGTGAGCGTCGTCCAACATCTCCGTGTACATGTTTTGGTAAGAGTCACGTCAACTCCACGCGCGTAAGGTCGCGTAAGGTGCTGAAAGCTGGTGGCGCAAGCAACTCCTCCACATGTGTCGCGTAAGCAAGAGCTCCACGCGCGTAAGGTGGCGTAAGTTGGCGGCGCAAGCAGAATGGTACGTGGCAAAACATGCCATGTTTAAGACGTGGCTCGAATGAGGTTCAGTCTAAATATCCAGCAGTCTACGATCCATTTGTTGTTCGGGAGAGATGCAGACTCGTGCCCCATATCAACCACCAGGGCACATCTTCATTTTCGCACGTCCTTTGCGATGGCCATAGGCATGCTATAGACTGCCTATTATGCAGTCAATTAATCAATGAATGGGGGCTCTATTCCAGTTCCAGGGGTTCATATGAGCAACGGACAATATTGGAGAGATGAGTTTTGGAGAGGGCGCTACATGTTTGTGGACGACTAGTTTGCGGACCCAATTCATTGATTCTAAGAGGTGTCCCCAAGTGAAAGTCACAAACTAGTCATGGAGGTCGCCTTTGGTATCACAAGCGAAGGGGGTGTCTTTGTTTTCGACCGGTGGTTCTTCCTTTTGGTTTTCCTTTTAGGACATCAAGAGAGGGCTGCCCTAAAATGTTACTGGGTGAATTGTAACGACCTCCCAAGACCTCACCCCATACTGGTGGTTTATGTGGGAAATGGCCCCCCAACCACCTTATTTGAGGCTGGTGAAATATGATGATTCACCCAGTTAAATGGGTCTGGGCTCAAAAATTTGACAGCCCGTGTCTTAGGACGTTTTCCGCCTGGAGACGAAGCTGGACACCTTGATGCGGCGCATGTGTCCGGCCCCGCGGCAGGTGACCGGCTGACGCCTGACGCGAGGCCTGTCGCCTGGCGGTGCTAGGAGCGAGCCGATGAAGGTTTTGTTTTCGCCGGTTCCTCCTTTTGTCCAGTCTGGGAATGGGATTTCTTTTTGAGGGTCTGTTTTTTGTTTAAAGTTTGCGATGGAACACAAGATACTTGTATTATTATTGGTGTTCTTGGATTTAGTTAAATCTGCTGTGCTTTGGTTGGGCCAGTTTCTCCAAGACTATGAAATGCTACATCGAACATTCTCGCCAAAGAGTCTTCAATTGATTCTCGTATGCCGGAGACAATGACAAACCTGAGCATACCCCCTCTATCACCAAGGGTGTGCGAAAATGTGTTGCTTCAAGCCGCATCCGGCTGCCTCTCGAACCGGCTCCAAGAGTTCGTGGCGCTTCGCTTGTCCGAAGCCAGGCGCGAGCTGATTTGGGTTTAACCGGAGCCGAGTTCACGACAGAGTCTGGTACTTGGGTAAGACCCCGGTCGGCTTGGCATCTCCGCCACCGGGGATCGGATCGGATTCAACCTCAATGGTGCTTTTGGAGGTCTCATGCGTTAGGAGTGTAGGTTTCCTCAGCGCCAAGCTCCAAAGAAACCGCCCTGCCTTGAAATCAGCGGGGCTCAGCCTGGATTGAAATACGCAACACCGGAGTGGGTGGACAGCTTCTTTCATAAATAGCTTCATTTTTTGTTGCAGATGTTGCGACACTCCGGGCTTTGCGGCAGGTCAGAATTGGCTTCTGTAACTTTCACCAGGCGTGCCCTGTGCTAGATCACGCTGCGCCAGAAATCGCCAAGCGCGGCAAGCACGCCGCGCGAAATTGGTCAGAGTGACCCAATGGGCGACCTGCTATCTTCCTCAAGACTGTTCGGTTCCGCCCAATCCAGGAGAAAGCTTGGGCTCGGGTGTTCCAGACCCCTAACATTCCAATGATCACTGGCAGACTCCAAAATTCTAGGGGCGTTCAGCAATCTCGGGAGAAATAATCAATCGCTTTTTTGTGGGGTCGGAAAATTATCCCCAGACAGCATGCACCCTCAATAGATGGGTGTTTCTCCCAGTTCCTTTGTTTTGGATGGAAACCAACCAGGAGACCAGCTGAAGTCCCTAACTTAGGAAAAACAACACCTGACAGTCTTGACTCAGAGCTCCCACCAGGGCGCTTCGGCGTGGCAAATTGGCCATGCCTACCCCACGTTTGCTCCATTAGGGAGCTTCATCACCCCAAAGGAGCTGCTTTGCGAGTGTCCTTCGAGTTGCTTCTCGAATTGGGGCTGTGTTCGTTTTGAGGGTTTGCCTCACAACACCAAAAACACCAAGAAGGCACCTGTAATTTTAAAGGGATTCCGATTTTAGGAAACATTTGTGTGTTTGGGTCTGTGTGTGTGTGTGTTTGTCTTCCAGCTAAACTGTTCCAGTGATTGTTCGTGGCAACTGAAGCCACAGCGACCTGAGAACTCTTCGTGAGACCGGATTATCCTGGAACCTGCCAGGGCCCTTGGACAACTGGAACAGCTGAATAGCTTGGGAAACAGTTTCCTTAGACTAGGTCCCCCAGTGCCCTTTTACCTTTGTTGGAGGGTTCCCCTACTAAAGTAGACTACAATAAATAGGATACCCGTATTCTAACCTCTCTACTGGAGGACCTAGTAGATGTTGGCCGATGCTTTTCCCAGACGCGACTTTGGCACTTCAATCGAGTTGCCCCCCCTCCAAGCAAGCACGTTGATGCTTCTGCGAGTGGCCAAGAGAATGCCTCTAAGAGTGACAGTAGGGGCATTGACCAGGAGTGTTCACCGAAAAAGGGCAGCCATTGTCACTCTCCAAAACAGCCGAAAGGGCCAGACACTTCATGCCTGAAGTCATGGGTGTTTCAATTCAGCCTTTGGGTTCGCAACTGAGAAACCCGGGCGCTCTCTGCACTTCGCTGGCCTGACATTTCACGGAACATCGCCGCTTGCCGGGCGCAAAAGCGAAAAGCTTTTCCAGGCATGGAAGGAGGATCGCGCTCGCGACGCGCGACGCGCGACGCGGGCGGGGACAGGGCGGTGTTGCGTGTTCTTTCGGCGGTTTAAAACGTCTGCTGGCCCCTTTCTCAAGAGTTTCATGGGGTATTTTTTTAGGTGGAACTGTAGGCAGCTGTGTGGGAGCCTTGTTGATACTCGTTTCGATGTCAAGTTAAGCCGCTTCTCAAGAGGCAATAAGAAGTGGTCAGTAAATATTAACCTGTGCAAGCAACCCAGGGAGCCACCAGACAAAAGCTTTCACTTCTGTCGAGTGCCTACCAACACCTTCTTGGATGTTCAATCCACTAAGTAGGTTCAGAACTGTAAATTGACTAACAAGGGTTACGCCGGTCTGTCCCTTAGCCATAACTTACTCACCTGACGTGGGTTGACCACGTTACGGAAAGCCTGCAGTCAACATAGGCTTCCCCAGATGGACCCTGGCTTCCATTTGCTTCCCAACTTGTTTTTTTTTGTTTTTCCCCTTGTTGACGTTTTAAAGGGAATCTCTCCCCACCGGAAACATCTCTTTTTCCCCAGAAACCGAAATTCGAAAACGCCAAAGCGTGAGACACATCTTGTTTTTTTTTTTCCCAGAAACCGAAACATCGACAACGAACCCAAAAAAAAGGTTGAGCCAAAAAGGACCCCCACGTGGAACCTCCGAGCGAGAAGGGAAGCAAACCGCCCGAGGCGGCAACGAGCTGCGGGCGGTGGACGAGAACTTGTCGCAGCTCGAGGCGCTGGAGGAGCTCGACCTGTCAGGCGCCGGGAACCCCCCCCTCAGGCCCCAACCCCCCCGCCCCCCCCCCCCCCGCAGACCTGCCCCCAAAAAAGGCAAAAACCAAAAGCCCCCCAAAAAAGGTTAAAACATAGGAAACAAATGGGTGCGGAACGAAAATGGGGGGGAACCCCAAAGTTGTTTGATGCTCCTTTTTAAAGGGTGGTTTTTGTGTTTTTCCATCCCCAAAAAAGGGTACCTTTGAAAAAACACTACAGACACCGACATTGTGGCCCTAGGGTTTCTACCGGTACCAGGTGATGTGTATCCTTACCCAAGTGTTTTGGCCAGAAGTCCACCCCATCTCTTGAGTGGTTTGGTAGGCCTTCTGGGGTGCTCCAAGCTTGATCCGGGTACGTGTCGATATTAAGACACCGTGAAAATGAATGGTGTCCCTTTCAGTCCCAAACCAACCCCCCAAAACGGAGCAAGAAAGAACAAATAGCTTTGCTCCTTGAGCCAAACGAGCAGACCTTCTTCTTTTTTTGCTCGGTCGGGACTCAATGAGAAACCTGAAGGGAAACACAATCTATTTAGGGGTGCCCATGTCTTGAGACACCCGTGTCAGTTGCCAATTGGGGTAGTTGTCAGAACCATAGTCCGGGCTCTTTGACTCCCTTCGCAGGCATGACACCCTTCCGGCGCGCGCCAGATTGAGTTTTCGACAACCTAGCACTTACCCAGTGATACAAATGACAATGTGGCTGTGGGGAAGCCTTAAATAACCTCATGAGTATGGGATCATACCGCTCCTCACGATTTTGCCCCTTACATGAGCCCGCCCCTGTTGTTTTGCCTTGCTTTTCAGCTCAATTCCTTGACACATTGGGATTTGTTTGTTGTGTCGGGAGAACGCATCAAGGCAATGCGCGGGGTGTTACCCCAGAGCTTTCACAGTCGAGCCAGGCCAGTTTCGACAGGACTCACTCGTCAGAGGCTGAAAGATACGGGAAGTGGTTTTTCAGCCTATTTCAAGCGTGAGTTGCTTTGCCGCTTGTTTGCAAGATCTCTGGTGTCTGGAGGAGCTTGGCAATTTCGGAATGCACCCACCTACCAGGCAACAGCCCAATCAGCAAACGACCAAAGAAACAACAATCCGACGAACCAAGGCATCTCCGAATAGTAAAAGGTCTTAACAATGATTGGGTGCTGTACCAATTACTTGACCCTTTAGCGTGTTGCGAATCTTAAACGAGCTTTTGTGACTAGCCAACTGGGGTGTTCAACTTACTTAAGTATGTCATGATGGCTATAAGTGGGTAGGGCTGACCATGCTTGCAATGTTAGAGAAGCATCCAGAGTGTCCGAATCAGACAGCAGGTTGAATGCCCATACAACACACGCAGACACAGACACAGACACAGACACAGACACAGACACAGACACAGACACAGACACAGACACAGACACAGACACAGACACAGACACAGACACAGACACAGACACAGACACAGACACACACACACACACACCCACACGCCCACATGCCCACACGCCCACACGCCCACACGCCCACACGCCCACACGCCCACACGCCCACACGCCCACACGCCCACACGCCCACACGCCCACACGCCCCCACGCCCACGCGCACGCGCACGGGCACGCGCACGCGCACGCAGCACGCAGCACGCAGCACGCGCACGCAGCACGCGCACGCGACATGCGCACGCCACACTCGCACGCCACACGCGCACGCCACACGCGCACGCAACACGCGCAAAAACACGCGCACACGCGCGCACGCGCGCATGCGTGCACGCGCACACGCGCACAGCAGACGCACGCACACGCGCACACGCACGCACACGCACACGCACACGCACACGTGCGTTTTTTTGGTTTGGTAGGCAAATGTAGGCAAGACATGCCACACGCCACACCTCCTACCCGATGTTTTGTGTTCGCACCCTCACGTCACTCGCCGTAAGCAACATGTCCGATGGCAGGCAACAAGCTGGAAGAGTTGCCTTCGCAGGTGGCCGCTGGCACGATCAAATTGAGCGGAGTGTCTGGTATCGGCTTCTTCGGTGGTGCGAGTTGGTGGTTTGGAGTGTGGATGGAAACCCCAATCTTTCTCATCTGCAAGAGCCAGGGGTTGTGTGTTTGAGGCTACTCTTTTTCAGGTTGGTTTTCAGGGAAAGCACCAGGAAACCACCATTGCTCAGGGTCCCTCTACTTTGAATCAGGTCCGGTTGATTTAGAGGAAAAGCCGATGTTTTGTCCAACCAAAGGACCTGCCCATTGTGTGGAGTGTTTTGTGTTTGCTAGTGTTTTGTGGTCTATTTCTCTTTGACATCTTTCGGGGTTTAGAGGGAAACTTCAAAGCAAGGCCCACACGCCTTTCTGGTGTTTGTTTTATTGGGGGGGCTGAATTAGAGGGACATCCCCCAAGACTCTAATATTTGCCCGACGTTGGAAATTGTTTCGTCGGACTTTGCAGGTCCGCCTGCTTTCCCTCTAAATCAGCTCCAAAAAACAAAGAACGCGACATAGAAGTGGGTGGCTTTCGCTTGCTTTCCGTCTGAAGCAGCCCCTCCCGACCATCGTGTGTTGGGTATCCCTGAAACGAAGGTCTTGGCAAACCTCACGTGACGTTTCGGCTACCTTCTGGTTCCTGTTAGTCGAAGGAGGCAGTTCATGTTCTTGCATCCTGAGTCAGCCCTTTGGTTGCAAGCTGAAGCAACTCCAAAGAGGCTTTAAGTAGACTCATAGCTCCGTTCTCCTCATTCTTCACAACACTTACGTCCTGTTGCCAAAGAGTCAAAGGCTCCCTTTGCTCCCGAAAACAATGTGAGTCAATCAGCAAGGAGCTGACCTTTTGGCCTTTTGGATTCCTGAGCTCCAAGGTTTGCATGTTTCCAGCTTTGGCTACAAATCGACCCCGAACGGGTGCTGGCTAGACTCCAGTCACAGTTAGCTACAAAAGAGCTGCGTTAATTTTTGGTTTTCGCCATGGTTCAAAACCAATGGTACCATTTGGGGATAGGTGAATTCACCACCCATTTTAGGCTTCCTATGTTCACTGGGGGGTAGGATTAGGGTTTTGACCCATGGCCATTCATGAGCTTTTGGTCGATTTTTTCCATGCGGTTGGGCACTTTGGCACCTGGGTGCGGCTCAAAATTAAACAGCTACGGTTACGCAGGTTAGAATCTTTGGTTCCGTTTACCAAGGTGCCATTTTGGTACATGTATTTGAGCCACAGCCACCTGTGCCCACCCATTTTAGAGCCAATTTTAGTGCTTGGATTGGGATGTTCACTGGGGGGTAACCATTTTGACCCACCATTCACGCGTTTTTTGTCGGTTTTTTTCGCGTGCGGTTGGGCACTTTGGCAGTGCCCAACATCGCTGTAGGCCACTTTGCGCAGCTTGCGGTCCCTTGTGCTGGATGGCAATCCCTGCAGCGCTCAGCTGCCTTCTGGGCATTTGAGGCCGGACAGGAGTGGAGGCATAGGCCTTTTTTGGTGGTTTTGATCGAACAAATCGATGGCCCTGGTTTACCTGGTGGTTTTATCAACCAGGGAAATCCATGTATTTCCCCTAAAAGGATACCTATGTAGGGAGGGAGGCTTTGGGGGGGGGCTTTCTTCAAGTCTGGAAAGGGAAGATATGGCCATGGGTCAAACTCCACATCGTACCCCCCAGTGAGCATCAACCAATCCAAGCACTGAAATAGGAAGCCTAAAATGGGTGGTGATTTCACCGATCCCAACCAAAATGGGCTCCGATCCACGGTTTTGACCACGGCCATGGTATCCCGCCTGCACCTCCCCATGTCACCGTCTTCGTTTCTGCGCGCCACACAACGTGGAGCAAGAGGTTTTGCCTGCAGTGACCGGGTCAAGACATGGCCGTGGTCAAAACCGTTTTGGATCGGAGACCATTTTGGTTGGGTTGGGCTTGGGTGAATTCATTCACCGCCCATTTTAGGAAGCCTTCCTATTTTGGTGCTTGGATTGGTTGATGTTCACTGGGGGTACGATTTGGGTTTTGACCCATGGCCACATTTGGGAAGCTTTCTCTTGCAACAGCTTTGTGTCCGAACCCGAACGCTCAGCTCCGTTTGCTCATCGGGCACGAAGCATCGGAGGAGTCCGCTTAGGACATTGGTGGTGCGGCCATTGGCAGTACCATCCCTGAGAAGCCGAGAGCATCACAGCATTCGGCGTAAGAAAAAGTCAGGAACCTTCAGGAGGCAGTGGAGCATGGCTGACTTGCAGTGAGTTGGTTTGTTTGGCGATAGACTGACTTTTGAACTATCTGCGAACGAGAACTCTGGACGAGCATCAGGGAAGCTACAAGTCGCCAATAGAGCGGAACGGTGCCCTCAATCCTTGTAATACGCGGGCAGCTTGCACCAGGAGAACAATTACACGAACAGGGTTTCCTATGTGAGCCACAATCAAAACCTGGGTAGATGAAGTTAGTAAGGGGCGATCCCAACCATAAATAGCTGCGGATATCCGACTTCTTAATCCTGTACATGGTTCTGGGTAGACCATTTTAACACCGATCGGTTTTGATTGCGACTCATGTGTCTTTGGATTTTAAATATCACCTTTGGCCAAAATCAGAGCTTCCTGGGGCCGGTACTGTCGGGAAACTGTTGGGACCAACTCACCAACTGGATCGATTGGGAGAATTACATTCAAATTTCCAAAGCTTTGCTCAGATTCAGATTCCCTGCCCAAATTCTGGTGGGTTCCTTAAACATGGGCCTATTTAAGTCAGTGGTTCTCTTTTCGTAGGGGGGAGCACTCTGGTTACTATCCCGGAAGCCCAGTGCTAGACACAGCTAAGGCGAGAATTCATGGGAACCCAGGATTAGCATATATACCCCTCCCCTGATTGATTCTAGGCGTTGTTTCAGTTACGTAAGAGGAAATCCGGCACTTCAAGGGAAGACTACCTTAGCACTCCACCAGGTTGATTTGTCTGGGGTCGACATTGGTGTGCTGCTTCCGGGGTTCCGCTCACCATGATTCTCAAAAGGAAAGGGAACCCGGGATCCCCTTAAACGAAGCCACAAGGGCTTGGTCACTCTTTGATTCCGTGCTTATCAAAACGGTGTGTCCGGGTGTGTCATGACTTAAGCAATTACTTTTAGGAAAATCAAAGGGACACCAACGATGTTGTGTTTTGTTGGGGAGGGAGGGTTGCCGTTCTTTTCAGGGGGAAACCCAATAAACAAACCAAGCTATGTGTTTTGTTGTTGTTTTCTCCCCCGTTTTCCAAAGGGAACCCAAGCTACAGTGTGTGTTTCTTCGATTGTCTCGGGGGCACGTCAGCCACCCGTCAGCCTTCATCTCACCACGCGAGGCAGCTGGCGCGGCCGGGCCGCGTCCCGGGGCAGACGCCAGCGCAGGTGATCTCTGGCGCCTCACCCGATAGCACGCTCCCAAAACCCCAAAGGGCCCATCCGGCCCCTTAGCTTCTTAGCCTTTTGGTGTTTTGTGGTAGTTTCCATTTCACCCACTAAAAGTTAAGCTTTTAGCGGGGGATCTGAGGGCAGCCCAGTTTAGTATCTCGTGAGCGCATGTGTGGAATAGGTGGTACCTGGTTGTATGAGGCGTGTGGTGAGGAGTATGTAAACCTTCATAAAAAGGAGCCCAACGCCAATGAGATTGGGCTGCTCACATGGACGCCCTCAAAAAGGGCTTCCCCCCTATTGAGTTCCATATTCTGCAAGAGTTTTTCCAGCTGCTCAGCAATCTTTCCTGCCCTTGTCAATGGATTTCTTTTGGGACCCATTTCGATGTCATTTCTTGCCTTTCGAGGTCCTTTCAAAGCGGTCATTTTGACCGAGGCGGATCTTCCAGTAAGATGCCTCATGATCACCTTGTTGGTGGCTGCGGGTAGGACTCAATCGCTGGGCAAGCTGGGAAACAGGCACCCCTTTCGAGCTTATACATGGGTCCTTCTATATAACTTGCGAAAAGGAAGTCGCCAACGGCAAATTTTGGGACTGTCCCATGCGTTTCCCCCCCTCCCAACTCCCCTCACCCTTTTGCTTGGTGCCCTCCCCACTCCTTTTTGGTTGTTTTGCTAGAAAATTCGATGGCGATTCCTGGTTTAACTGGTGGTTTAATTATTTACCAGGGCCACCTATTTCCCCTAAAAGCACACCTATGCCCCAATCCAGCTTTCCTTGTGAGTCCCTGGGCAAATGAGTAGCTTAACAGATCACCAGTTCCGGCGGATTTCTTGCCTTAAACAGCCAAGAAACCCTGCAATGTTGATTCCCCAACGTAAATACCAACTAACCATGGTTTCCCATGGTTTCCAAGTGGTGCGAATTGGGTTTCGTCCATCCACAGCTATGGTTTGACACGGAGACCTAGACCATCATGACACCCGAAAGCTTGCGTTAAACAGCTATGGTTTGGCATGGCAAAGACTAGAACATCATGACACCCGCTTGGAATCATGGAGAAAAGTCTCCAGGCCTTGAAGGCACCACCCGAACCCAAGCCAAGTCCAAAAGCATGTCTACTCCTTGCAGCCTTTCACTTGCCTATACTGGCTAACGGAAGAACCCGGGGGTCTGCCCAAATGGCACCGGACAAGTCTTCATTTAGATGGGACGCATGCGAAAGACACAAACACCCGCCCATTATATAGGCTGGTGAACAATAGCAACTCATTTTACTGGGTGTTTCCTATCCGGGGATTAAACATTCCCACCCATGCAGATGCTTTATTTGGGGACTCCTCATTCCAAATTGGCGAGTTGCGATGCAGGTCATTTGTTTGATATATATATATATATATAATTATATAGATATACTACACTGAGGTATGCGTCACGATAGGGGACCGCTCAAAATAGACTTCGGTTTTTGTTTTGCTTCCCCCTTTCAAACCTGAAATGGATACAGTGAAGAACCCACGCACCCAATCTCCGTTTGCTCAGGATTATTTGCTACGCTTATTTCCCCTTGTTGGTTTTAAAGGGAATCGATCACTTCTGGGAATCTTGTTTTTTTCCCCCAAGGTGTGCTATGCTTATTTTCCCCTGTTGGTTTTGAAGGGAATCGATCACTTCTGGGAATATGTTTTTTTTGAGCTTTGGGGTCTCAGCCCAGATAGGCTCTGGGGTGCTCCGGGGCGGCCCTGAGGTAAGGTTCCACCAGGGTTCCGCCAAGGTTCCACGAGGTTCTGCGATGCGGGGTGGTGCGAGCACTAAAAAGAGCACTGAATGCTGCTGGAATTATAACGCCTGAGCAAGTTTTTGTTTTTTCCCCCAAGGGGCGAAAACGCCAACGCCTCGAATTTGTTGCCTGCGAGCCTCCAAGGCCTCCTCGCCCCGGGCCCAGCGGCCCCCGCGGCCCCCGTGGCCCCGGCGCCGCCGCCGCCGCCGGCGCTGGCAGCACAGCCGTCGGCCCCAGCGCCGCCAGCCTTCGGTGGCGAGGCGGCGAAGACTTTGGGGTGGTGCATTTTGCCAAGGGATCTCAGGACTTTAACTGTTTCCCAACTAATGGGTGTTGCATTAAACCACTAAAACTTAAACTTTTAGCAGGGGAGCAGAAAGCAACCAAGTATACTTCTAATACTGTTCACCAGGGCATAAGTAGGCTACAGCCGCGTCGGTAGGGCGCCGTCCTAGAAGACGCGTACGCGTCCCAAAGCCAGGAGAAGCCCCATTTCACACTCCTCCCTGGTGACTGCAAACGCACGGACCCCAAGACACATTCAGCATATCCTAAAGTACAGCAAACAGGGTTTGGGATGGTTTGGTCTCTTGCATCCCGAATCCCACAGACAGTCAATAACAATGTCTTAGCATTTTCGCGCCTGTGGCCTAGTAGCCATGTTGAGTGTGGAACAGTGGAACCCCTCTTCCCAATGCTGATCCAGCTAATTTTTCGCGAGGCTGCACCGGCTCCCCTTGCTATGGTTCTGAATCAGTTCATTCCCTGCTAGGAACGACCTGCGACGGACGCGCGGGTGCGGTCCCTGCTGCAGGAGGCACGGCGTGGCGCGCGATGCTGTGACGTTCTTGGATCTAAGCAAGCTACAGCGACATCAGGTTCCAGAGGTTTGCGGCAGATGGAAGATTTCGTTCATAGGGTTCTCTTATTTTGGGCTCCCTTTATTGACCCAGTTTGGGGGCTGGTCAAAGGCAAGCTATCCTTGTGGGTCACAGAAGGGGTCCCCTGGCTCCAGGAATCTGCAACGAGGATTGGCCATCCTTCGCGAGCCAAAACCAACATGCGTCCTCAATTCCTGAAGCTCCGTGCTTGAAGCCAAGAACAACGCCCGGCTCTTTTGAGCAACGTGTATTTGAAATTGCGTGCCTACCAGGCAGGAATCTGGAATATCTCTGCCAGTGGACGTTTGCCACCGAATGATATCCCAGCCTAAAGGAACCTGGTGGTTTCTCGGCGAGGGGGCTGCCTCCAAGTGAATGATCCGTCTAAAATGGGTTGTATCCTTGACCACCATGGGTTTACTTGTACTTGTTGATCTCTACTTGTTTTTTGGCATGTTTTCTCTGGATACCTATCGTTTGCCTTGCAGGTTTATGAATCAGCAGGCTGCTCCTTCCCCACAGACACTGCACCTGAGGGTACCCGGAAGATGATTTTCCTCCTGGCGGAATTACCCTGTCGGTTGCCATGTTAGTGGGAGGGAGGGTGATTCCAAGCGTTCTTTCACCATGCTTCTGTTCAAGTGGTTTCCAACTCGGGTGTCACCGGTTGGGTTTTTTGGAAAGGACGGACAAGCATGGGATTCTAAATGCGACAGCGAAAACGTTGGTCAGCCACAACCTGATTCGAACGGACAGAGTGACCAAATACGCCACAAAACTGGATTTGTCTCAATAGAGGGGACCCTCAAAGTAGGTGGTTGTGCTTTTGTTGCTCTTCAAACACACACCCCTTAACGGGTACCATCAAATTCGACACACCCATTTGCTTTCTGGTACTCCCTGTTCGTTCAAGCAGATATCGATGCCCACGTGTCAATTCGCTTGTCTTGGCGTGGCCATGAACATTGGGCCGAGCACCTTACCAATTATTACCTCGCGGCGCCGAAAACATCCGGGTGCTTCTCAAAGCTGGTTGTAGTTTCCCTTCAACTGCCCGCCAAAAGGACGTCCGCTATTTTGAGAGCCCCGCATTTGTACCATCATCACGGTCTGACAGCTATGTTATCAGCTTACGTCGTAGGTATCTCAGGGAGTTGTATAGGTTGTGGGTAGTGGGGGAATTCGGAACCGGGGCGAGCTCCTTGGGAAGCAATGGCTATGTGAGAGTTGTCCGAAAGGTCCTTGACAGGGAAGGCCATTTGGTCTTCTGCGTTGCCCGAAGCCAGCCCTGCGAAAGCTCCATGGAGGTCGCGAAAGTCAGTTTGTGGTAAGGGAAGGAAACTCAGACCATGTTCCAAGCTGCCTATCGTTATGTTAAGATGTGAAGGCCTGATTCCTACAGAGGGTTGGGAAAATGGACACCCTCTCCAATCCGAATAATATTTGGGGTGTCTTTTTTTTGGTGGGAAGCCCAAAAATGGCGGTGTTCTTTTTAGTTTGATTGAAACCCACCAAAAGCTGGGGATACCAACTCAAAACAAGACTCGTGTGGCCCTCGCCGGCAGGTCGAGCGGCTGCAAGGCCGCGTCACCGAGCTGGAGTCGAGTCCAGGCAGATCGATCAACGAGTCGTCACGGTCCGGGGCCTACTGTGGATGAACGAAATCCATTGCGCACCACCTAAGAAACCATGTTAAACCATCGGTTGTTGGTATTTACAGGAGAATCATCATTTCAGGGTTTTTTGGGTGGTGCGAAATGGACTTCGTCCATCCACAGTATGTCTGAGCATGTCACACGTAGATGGCTCCTTCCCCCGGAGTGGTTAAGTGAAAGGGACATTCCCTTTATGTGGGTAGGTGAAGGATGAATCCACCATGGAGGAGTTGTGCCATCTACTTCAACCGAACTTCAACCCAACTGGTCCACTTTTTGCACCCAAGGGAATGTTGCAGATCTCAGCTCAACGCAGTGCACAGTCTCGGGTTGGTGGCGCCGACGTGCAACCCACAATTTTAAGAAAATGTATATATATATATATATATGTATTCACACATGTTGATATATTCTACATCTAAAGATATAATATATACATACATGCATATATACATACATGCACATATATATATAGAGATAGACATGCATACATATATATATATATATACATATAGAGAGAGAGAGAGAGGGAGAGAGATCACAAACACTATATGAAGACGCACTGGATAAAGGCTACATGTCCGAGGCGCGGGCACCATCGAGGCTTCTGAGGTCCTTGCCGATGTTGACGCGGAAATCCAGCTTGAAGTCCAAAGTCCAACGTTTGTCTCTTGCTCCAAATTCATTTGGCTGGTCAAAACTGTTTTGGGATCCCATTCTTGGGGCAGGTGAATTCACCACCCATTTAAGGCTTCCTATTTTAGTGGTTGGATTGGTTGATGTTCACTGGGGGGTAGGATTTTTGGGGCAAGTTGGCTCTGTTTGGCTTCAACCCAACCCCCCAATTTCAACTAAAGAGACATCCATTGACTGGTGCCACTGTCAGGGGGGGGTGTAACATGACTGTGGGTCAAAACCGTTTTGGGATCCCATTTTGGTGGGTTTTGGTGGGTAGGTGAATTCACCACCCATTTTAGAACCTATTTAGTGGTTGGATTGGTTGATGTTCACAGGGGGGTGGATTTGGGTTTTGACCCATGGCCATTTATGGCGACGCAGGCCTGCCTGAAGCTCCATCCGCCGGGGAGAGGAAGCCCTCGTGGCTGTCAGACCGCGGCAGCCTGGCTGCGACTTTGCCCTCACGACGGGGCTTAAACCTTGGAGGAGACGAGGACGAGGCGAGTCCCGCTGTTCGCTGGGGCACTGTTCATTGTTACTGGGGGGTCTGCAAAAAACATGTTTTTTTTGCTACCATACCAAGAGTAGAGATGTGAAGCAGAACGTCCCCTCTTTGACAGTTGGGTATTGCGGTATGTGAGCCCGCTTGACACCAAGTTTGAGAGGCCACTGATCTCAAGAACCAGCTCAAGGAAGAGCAGAGGAAGAGCAAGCGCCTAGAGACCCAAGTGCACCTCAGGCAGCACTCAGAGTTGGGCCTATGTTTCTAAGGGGTTTTGTTTGTACACCCACTGGGTATTGACACCATTTAGGATTTTATCGTGTCATTTTGAACCATTCTGGGTCATTTCCCAAGAGTGTATTCCCAGAGTTTCAAACTTCGTGGCGAACTGCGGTTGAAAACCATATGTTTACACAAGGGGTTGGCCAACTATTCACTGCCTGTCGTAGACATCCTTGCTTTGTAGTCTAATTCACATGAGCCACGCACGCCGGATTGAAGCAAGTCAAGCTTTGTACTTATCCACTACCTGTTTGTATCAGCGTATCTTATATAAGCGGTATCTCATAGCAAGGGTGTCATACAGGGGCATATGTGCAACATTGCATGTGCCATATGAATTAACTATCCGGCTTATATGAGTGGTATTCTATATCTCATACCAAGGGTAGCATACTGGGCTTATATGCAGGGCTCTATATACAGGGGGTTATATCCCATATGAAGTGTATACCGTATACCACGAGTGTGTTGTCCCCTTCTTTGTCACAAACTACCTTTTCAGCCATAGTCAAAAGATTCATGGGTGAAAGCCATTCGCGCATTACATTTGTTTAATCCTTATTTGGCAACCTGGTTTTCTTCGCTAAGGCCTATTACAGTGGGTCCTGTAGTTCTCCTTCTGGGTGACGTAAGCAATACCCTTCGGGCCATTTTTAGATTAGGATGAGGTGTAGTGGGGCACACCCCTGTAGGTTAACATGGAACTATCACAAAACACAACTTTTACTGGAATCTCCCTTTGCGGCACCCCCTTTTGGCGTTACTTGACAAGGAGGGCCTTCAAAATGGATCATGTCAGAGTTTCATTTGACTAAGGCTCTTAGATTTGTGGGATACCGGAGATATTCCCTTTCGTCCAAGTTCCGTTTTCCCCGCTTCCCCTGGTTGCCTGGCAGCGCAGCTCACTTTCCGCCCAGGCAGCGCCTCACGGACCGCCTCAGCGAGCAGTCCTTGGGCGCGGGGAAGGGCGGCGGGCTGCCGCACTTCGCGCCTCGCCTCCTCAAAGGCTCAGACCGGTTGGAAACGATGCGTGTTTTCCATGAATCCTACAACAGGTGATGGACCTTTTGCTCAAAAGGGGGGTTTTCAGAGAGGTAAACCAGAAGTTGGACAGGCAATTTGAGGGCACACACCCTATGAGACAGCTTGTTTTCCCAGCGGGGGGAAAGCACATGTTTGTTATTGGTTTGTTTTTTAACCCACCCCAAAGTGCATGTCCTTCATTGCCTGCCCACTGAAGGTCTGGGTTAATGGTTGATTGGGGGCTGGCTTCCAAGCGGGAAATACATGTCGGCTTACCCTTTTCTGACCAAAGCACCGAGAAAGTGGGGTGGGTCACGTTTGTGGAGCTTTGGATTTTAGGATGCTACTTGCTGTGAGCCAAGATGATCCCCTTAAGCTGCCAAATCGTCATAGCCATGGGAATCCCACTTCGGTATCACGGGAATCCCAGGTCCTGCCATAGAGGTTGGGGGCATCCGTTTGTGCGGGACCCGCCCGGCCCCCACCCCAAGGCCCTTTTCCCTTTAGACACCCTCAGCCACCGGGTCCAACTTAGGGGACCGGTCCAGTTTGATTGGTCAGGCTGCCGAAGGGCCCTCATGTTAGCTCTCTGCGTCTGGAAAAACAGTGAGGGGCGCACCGTTGGGAGTTTTCTCTGCGCCGTTCGCGAAACTCGGCGGCTTGCTTCCATTTCACAAGTCACTAAGTCTGTCAGAAGCCCTCAAAGGCGGCTTGCTGGTTCCTGGTTTGCTTGTAGCCCCAGCAGTCGTAATGTTGACCCTGGATTAATAAACCCATCCCACTAGTCAAGCATGTTCCCTCCAAAAGTGATGAATCCCCACTAAAAGGGGACGCCCCCCAATATAATCAACCAGGGTTTTTTGTTATTCCGGGGTGAACATTAGCCCCCGTCGTAGGAAAAACACCCGACCTCTAGACAAACCGTAGGCCCTGAACCCCAAAGTTCCCTTTCCCCGAACGAGGAGGTATTTCCCGCAAACATCCCAAATCCCCCTGTGCGGTTTCCCGTTTCACGTTGCCTAACCTGCACTTGGCACCTTTCTCACCCACCTGGGTATGGCTCAAAATGAAAGAGCTGGGGCTACGCGGGTTTTAGTCTTTGGTTCCATTTACCCAGGTGCCATTTTGGTTCCTTTGTTGCATTTTGCTTGGATGTTAGGACTTTAACTTTTTGCCAACTAATGGGTTTTCCGCATTAAGCCACTAAAAAATATTTACTTTTAGCAGGGCTTCGCAGATGTCGCAAGTGAGTTGGGGTGGTGCAGTTTCATGATGAATTTTGAACCCATTTGTTACATGTATACTTCTATAGTATCGGGCTAGCACTTAGAATATATTTTACTCCGTCCGATCCTCACTTAGAATATATTTTACTCCGAAAATATCCCAAAACATCAGTTAGAATATTTAGGTTCACAAGTGACACTTATAATAATTCAGATAGCATACACTTAGAATAATTCAGATAGAATATGTTTTGTCAGACAGAATATTTCACAGAATATTTCAGCAAGCTGGGTCACAAGGCAATTTCACACACCAATTGATGGCGTCGAAACGTTTGATGGCATCGAGCCGCGCAGATGCATGGGGTCAAGGAAGAAGAAGTGAATAATAAAAGCAGATGGTGATGTCTCAGATGTCCATGAAGCATTGCTAGTGAGAAATGAGCTTAGAGGGGGGGGAAGCTCGAACGCTTTCACGAAAAGCTCAAAGGTAGAAACTTTGGAGTTGCACGCGGGCGGTAAAATCAGGTCCTCCGAGCCAGGACTAATTTTAGCATTGCCGGTACTTAATTGTGCATTGCCAGTACTAGTTTGAGAATAGTACTCATGTATATTGTCAGTACTAATTTTAGCATTGCCAGTAGTAAATTTAGTATTGGCAGGACATTCTTGCTATTGCCGGTACTGAATTTAGCATTGCCAATATAGACTTTGGATTGCCAATGCTAAGCCTAGTAAAGTTTAGCAAGGGTTTGAACTGTAAAATTCTTTATTTAAAAACGTATCCTGGAAGGTTTTTTGGCTACGAGAAGAGGGGGTAGCTTTGCCGCAATAGTCAATATAGAATTGCCAGTACTAACTTTAGTATTGCCAATAGTAAATTTAGTATTTTTAAGATAGAATAATTCAGCAAGGGCCGTAGATTTTCAATATAAACCTGTTCTGATAACACACTTCTCGACTTGCTTTTGCCAGGACTAAACTTAGTATTGCCAGTACCTCCTTTCAAAGGTCATTTTCCAGACCTCGCAGCCTTTGTATCTGACACAGATTATTCTATTTGTGTGTTCCACTTCCAAGGATTTGCACAGGCATGTCAAGATTTGGGATTACTCGAGCTGTCTCATTTATTCATATGTGGTCTCGGTACTGTTTGGGGTTGGGGTAAAAGGAAAGGAATGCCACCCCGTGTTGGGACATAGTGGGGTACCCTCAAAAACTGAGCAAACACATATTTACTTTCTCTATATATAATCTGTATATGTTTATATATTTGCATACGATTGAATGCATGATGAAGGTTTCCTGGCCCAAACACACATATTCTAGCTGTGCCACCCCATGGTGGTCATTTGTATTTTGGGCTCAGTACCGTTTTGGGGTTGGGTTAAAGGGAAAGGAAGGCCACCCCTTTTTGGAGAATAGTGGGGTACCCTCAAAAAACGCAAATCCATATCGACTATGTATATTATATATATATATATATATATATATGTTTATGTGTGCATACGATTAATTGCCTAATGCAGGTTCCCGGCCCAAAAACAACTATTCTAACTGTGCCCCGCGATGGTGTACAATGTATAGCTTCGGCTCGGTACCGTTTGGGGTTGGGCTAAAGGGACAGGAAGGCCACGCTTTTGGACCCTCAAAGAATAAACAAAACAATATTTACTATCTCTATATCTTTCATTATGCCTACGATTCATCACCTGATGAAGTTTTGCCAAAAACACATATTCTAACTGTGCCACCCCATGGTGTTCATTTGTATTTTGGGCTCGGTACCGTTTGGGGTTGGGTCAAAGGGAAAGGAAGGCCACCCCTTGTTGGAGTGTACTGAAGTGCCCTTAAAAAATAAGCCATCCAATGCTTGCTATCTCTCTCTGTTATATATATATATATTAAAGTGTGGCCTGATGAAGAAGGTTTTCCGGCCCAAAAACACATATTTTATCTGTGCCTCCCCATGGTGTTTATGTATAGCTTCGGCTCGGTATCGTTTGGGGTTGGGCTAAAGGGAAAGGAAGGCCACGCTTTTGGACCCTCAAAGAATATGCAAAACAATATTTACTATCTCTATATCTTTCATTATGCCTACGATTCATCACCTGATGAAGTTTTGCCAAACACACATATTCTAACTGTGCCACCCCATGGTGTTCATTTGTATTTTGGGCTCGGTACCGTTTGGGGTTGGGTCAAAGGGAAAGGAAGGCCACCCCTTGTTGGAGTGTACTGAAGTGCCCTTAAAAAATATGCCATCCAATGCTTGCTATCTCTCTCTGTTATATATATATATATGTATTAAAGTGTGGCCTGATGAAGGTTTTCCGCCTCTATCTGTGCCGCCCCATGGTGTTTATGTATAGCTTCGGCTCGGTATCGGCTGGGGTTGGGCTAAAGGGAAAGGAAGGCCACGCTTTTGGACCCTCAAAGAATAAGCAAAACAATATTTACTACCTCTATATCTTTCATTCTGCCTACGATTCATCACCTGATGAAGTTTTGCCAAACACACATATTCTAACTGTGCCACCCCATGGTGTTCATGCATATTTTGGGCTCGGTACCGTTTGGGGTTGGGTCGAAGGGAAAGGAAGGCCACCCCTTGTTGGAGTGTACTGAAGTGCCCTTAAAAAATAAGCCATCCAATGCTTGCTATCTCTCTCTGTTAAATATATATATATATATTAAAGTGTGGCCTGATGAAGGTTTTCCGGCCCAAAAACACACATTCTATCTGTGCCTCCCCATGGTGTTTATGTATAGCTTCGGCTCGGTATCGTTTGGGGTTGGGCTAAAGGGAAAGGAAGGCCACGCTTTTGGACCCTCAAAGAATAACCAAATCAATATTTATTATCTCTATATCTTTCATTATGCCTACGATTCATCACCTGATGAAGTGTTGCCACGGTACCGTTTGGGGTTGGGCTAAAGGGAAAGGAAGGCCACGCTTTTGGACCCTCAAAGAATAAGCAAAACAATATTTACTATCTCGAAATCCTTCATTATGCCTACGATTCATCACCTGATGAAGTTTTGCCAACAACAAGTATTCTCACTGTGCGCCCCCATGGTGTTCATTTGTATTTTGGGCTCGGTACCGTTTGGGGTTGGGCTAAAGGGAAAGGAAGGCCACGCTTTTGGACCCTCAAAGAATAAGCAAAACAATATTTACTATCTCTATAACTTTCATTATGCCTACGATTCATCACCTGATGAAGTTTTGCCAAACACAAATATTCTATCAGTGCCATCCCATGGTGTTCATTTGTATTTTGGGCTCGGTACCGTTTGGGGTTGGGCTAAAGGGAAAGGAAGGCCACGCTTTTGGACCCTCAAAGAATAAGCAAAACAATATTTACTATCTCTATATCTTTCATTCTGCCTACGATTCATCACCTGATGAAGTTTTGCCAAACACACATATTCTAACTGTGCCACCCCATGGTGTTCATGCATATTTTGGGCTCGGTACCGATTGGGGTTGGGTCAAAGGGAAAGGAAGGCCACCCCTTGTTGGAGTGTACTGAAGTGCCCTTAAAAAATAAGCCATCCAATGCTTGCTATTTCTCTCTGTTATACATATATATATATATATATATTAAAGTGTGGCCTGATGAAGGTTTTCCGGCCCAAAAACACATATTCTATCTGCGCCTCCCCATGGTGTTTATGTATAGCTTCGGTACCGTTTGGGGTTTGGCTAAAGGGAAAGGAAGGCCACGCTTTTGGACCCTCAAAGAATAAGCAAAACAATATTTACTATCTCTATATCTTTCATTATGCCTACGATTCATCACCTGATGAAGTTTTGCCAAACACAAATATTCTAACAGTGCCACCCCATGGTGTTCATTTGTATTTTGGGCTCGGTACCGTTTGGGGTTGGGCTAAAGGGAAAGGAAGGCCACGCTTTTGGACCCTCAAAGAATAAGCAAAACAATATTTACTATCTCTATATCTTTCATTATGCCTACGATTCATCACCTGATGAAGTTTTGCCAAGAACGAGTATTCTAACTGTGCGCCCCCATGGTGTTCATGCATATTTTGGGCTCGGTGCCGTTTGTGGTTGGGTTAAAGGGAAAGGAAGGCCACCCCTTGTTGGAATATACTGGGGTACCCTCAAAAATAAGCAATCCAATATTTACTATCTGTATATTTAGTAATTTATGCATACGATGAATCACCTGATGAAGGTTTGCAAAAGCAAGTATTCTATGTGCCCCCCCCCAAAAGGTGTTCATGAATATTTTGGGCTCGGTACCGTTTGAGTCTCTGGAGAATTTGCTGTATATGAAATATTCTATCTGTTTGTGGGAGAGGGGCATGGCCCGTCGGGAGCTCCGAAAAAGTAAATGCGTGTGTCTTTCTTAGGGGGACCCCTCAAAACGGTTGGTTTCCGTTTGGTTTTGCATATACCCTTGAAAGAGAGACGGACCAGAAAGGAAATCATGGGACCCACAGCCACATGGTTTGCTGAAAGCCGTACATAGAAACATCTAGCAACAGGCTAGCAGCTAGGACATTTATCGCAGAGTAGTTGTTCATAGCAGAAACCCTTATTTTGAAATATTCTATCTGTCTGTGGGAGAGGGGCATGGCCTGTCGGGCTGAGCATTTGAGCTCCGAAAAAATGGAGAAGCCATGCATCATGCATTCCTTTGGCAAATGCCTGTGTCTTTCTTTGAGGGGACCCCTCAAAACGGTTGGTTTCCGATTGGTTTTGCATATACCCTTGAAAGAGAGACGGACCCAAATGGAAAATCATGGGACCCACATGGTTTGCTGAAAGCCGTATATATATATATAAACATCTAGCAACGGGCTAGCAGCTAGGACATTTATCGCAGAGTAGTTGTTCATAGCAGAAACCCCTATTTTGAAATATTCTATCTGTTGTTTTCTTATTTTGAAATATTCTATCTGTTGTCTTTTTTTTGGTTGAAATATTCTATCTTCATTTTTTTGTTTATTCTAACTGACTTTTTCCTATTTATTCTAACTCATTTTGTTGATAGACTTTTGAAATGTGCATTTTCATTTACTCTAAAAATATATTCTAACTGCTAGCCCGATACTATAATACTGTTCACCAGCGCATAAGTAGGTTGCAGCCGCGTTGGTGCCATTTTGGTTCTACTTTTCGCCACAGCTACCATCTGATAGGAGCTGCCCCGGTCCCATGTTGGTTTTCCACTTTTTCTGTTCGCCACAGCTACCTGAGCATCAGGAAATGGTGGAGGTGCAGCTGGGCGAGATCCTGAACCAGGGTGGTTTCAGCGTGGTGCACAAGGGCAGCTGGCACGGCACCAAGGCGTGCGGCGCGCTCGGGACGTGTGGAAGGCTTCCCCGTGAACGGCGAAGCCAAAAGGAAAGTAGCGAAGCCATACGCCAATGATGAAAATCTGAGAGAAACACCCAATTTTTTGTGGGCAGACAGAAAATGTGAAGTTGCTTTTAGGTAGAGGGAAGGGGTAGCATCTTCGCCCCAGACTTTTCCCCTGATAGCTGAAAGCTACTGGGGTTCTAACTTCTTGTGAAGAGGGAATCCCGTTTTTTGCGCCATCTGGGGTCTATATGGTGGTTTATCTTGTTTCTTTTTTCTAGACATTTGTTTTAACTCCCGGAGAGATGGGAGCAGGAGTCACTGTGGGTTGGTTTTGTGAGGGTACTTTTGGATTTGGGTCCAATGAAGGGTCAAACGCTGACCTGCCCGACCTCGCCTCTCTTTTTTCTAGCAAAGCTAGGATACCATGTTGTTTTTTGCCTCCAGGTGTTTGACCGGTGCAACCCCCCCCCCTCCCACGCAGGCACCGTGGCCTACCAAGTGCCTTTCTGGTCTACGGAACCTCGGAAAGGTGTATAGAGCCAGGTACCGCTTCCAGGTACCGCTTTCTTCCATCCTCCGAGCATTTGTTGAACGGGCGATCGGCAACACGCAAGCAATTTTCATCCAACACGAGCATTGCTTAGTTTTTCACAGAACCGTCCAAAACTGTTTGAAGAAAGTTATACTTGTCGTATTACGCTGAAGCATCACCGTTTGATGCCAAGGTCTGTCAGGGTTGACCCCTTGGGAACACCAAGGCCCCGCTTGAAGTATGGCAACCCAGGCTCCTCAAGAACCTTCCCCCTTCCTAGAAAAAAAAACAGATTTGCAGCTTTCGTGACAGGGGTATCCACATCAAAAAGGCCGACCTACCTTTGTGTGTGTGTGTGTTGCATGTGTGTCTGTGTGTGCACGCATGTTTGCATGTGTGTTTGTGTGTGTGTGTGTTTTCTTGAGATAGCCTTTTGGACATGAACTCCACGTTTCAATTGGCTCTAGCGTCTCAGCTTTTGCAGCCATCCAACAGGGATGCTTTTTTCGCCCCGTCAAGAACAACCGCACGTCCCTATTGCCTAAACCTGGGGAACGGAAATGTGCCCGTGATTGTTTGTTTTCCTTTTGGCGGCTACGCCTTTTGTTTTTGGAGAAGGCCAGAGGGAAACCGGGCCCGTGCATTCATTGGGGGAGGGTCCTGCGAGTTGGAGAGAGATGCTCAACGCACCCTGTCTTCTGGGGGACAGGATGCTCATCAAGGCAACAATGGCCCTCTCTTTCTCCACGACCATGGCCCACGATGGGACTTCTCAGCCCTGGCAGCGTTGTTTTTTGTTTCAAAGGACCAACCCACGAAGTTGTTGGCTTTTTTTCAAAGGACCAACCCACAAGCAGGATGTAACCATGGTCCAAGGGTTATGAGTTAGAGAACGTAGCCCGGTTACCCCAGTTGGCACCAACTTAGCTGACGTGGCTTGAACTTAGGGTGGCACTTGTATGTTGTTTCTCCCAAACAGACTTCTCTTGGACCAACACATTTCAAGCCTTCAAAAGCCCAGATTTCTTCTGTTATTCCAAGGAAGCCTGGGTCTCCTCAAAAGCCGGGCAGGTTTTGGTTTGGCCCCAAGAATGCCGGGGGGGTTTTCAGAGGTCCTCGATCGCTGGCGAGGTGGCGGTGAAGCAGCTCTTCGACCCCAACATCTCGGCGGAGCTGCTGGCGGAGTTCGACAACGAGGTGCAGAAGCTGGAGCTGCTGAGGCCGGAAAGACGCGCTCGCTTTGAGCACGCGCGCGCGCGCGCGCGTGCGTTTGCACGCACGCGCGCAGAGCTGTTGTGTTTTTTTGGAGGTTTTCAGTGGCAACTTTTTCAAAAGGGTGGGTGTAAAGGGATTTGCCCAGAGGGAGAACACCCATTTTAATCCTGGCCCCCTAGTAATCAAACGGTCCCCCGGTCCCCATCGAACACCATTTTTATCATTGGGCGTTCCCGGCGGAAAACCCGCGTAGTCAAGGAAACGTATTGGAGCTCCGGCTTGAAAGTCGCTACTTTGTAGCACTCGGGAAGCACACTCCTGGAGCTCGGGCTCGAAAGTCGCAACTTTATAGTACGCGTAGTAAAGACACGCACTCCCGCAGCATCCGCAGCTCCGGCTCGAAAATCGCAACTTGGCAGTACACGTGTATTAACGAAAACGCGCTCCCAGACCCCGGGCTCGAAAGTCGCAACTTTGTACGCGTACAAAAAAGAGGGGATGGACCCTCCAGGCGAGAAAATCTTCTAGTAGGCACCCAAGGAGATACCCTTTCGGAATTGGCTGGTTACCTGCTAGAAGTAACTAGGTTCGGGCCAGGGTTGGTTGCAAACTTGGGTACCAACCCCAACTCATTTTGCTGAGGGAAACCCAAGGATTGTTTAACCATTGCTTCGACTGATTGAATCGCCCAACCCTGGCGAGAGAACGAGGCGTCCTTCGATTTCCAGCAAGAATCCCCGAAAAACAAGAGCTCCAATCGTGTCCTTTTTTTCCGGGGTAGGGTATCGTTTATTTGGGTGTCCTTTTCCTATCCTCTAGGAGGACTGTGTTAATGGTTCCAACCATGAATCTTGACCAAAGGTCATTGTCGGGGAAGATCGTAGCATTAAGCAAGTCTGCTCACTTTTTTCAGACCAATCCACTCAAGTAAGGATCGACCCATGAATTCCATTCGCGCTACCCTGGCGACTCTTCCCTGAGCGTATCCAAGCATGGTGGTTTTGCTGTATTGTGTTTACAGGCAGTTGTCAGTCTGTCTTAGTAGGGGGGAATTTATGCACTTGTCTCTCACAAGTCTCGATGAGAATCCTATTGTGGACTCAGAAAAAGCTAAAGAGCCACCAGTTCTGTAAGGACAAGGCAGTTTGGACACTCCAGTCCGCGCTTGCCACAACACCCTTTTACTCCTTAGATTTTTAGGCAACCAATGCACGGGTTCCTATTAAGAGAACCACATGATTCGGCCAGGAGGATGATTTAAGCAATGTAATCCAGCTGGTATCCACCTTGGAGGCTTGAGTTTGCCCTTTTTGTCGCTGAATCGACGGGAGGAAAGGAGTTTTCGCTGCGCTAGGCATCCCAATATCCTGATGCCCTTAGCGGTGCATCGCAAGCCTCCGGCACTGCCCCTCGGATTTTTCCAGCAAGCCAGGCCAGTGACCCTTGCTTTGTCTCATGGGGATTTGGGTTCCAACATAGCTGGTGTCCCTTTCGTTTGTTTGGAAACCCCCAAAAGTGCCTCGGATGAAGACAGACCCATGTTGAGACAAACTTGTTCTAAAGGCTGGCTTAGACATGCGTCTGCCGGTGAGTTTTCCGCAATCAAATGGGACGCGTTTCACTTTTCTCATGTTGGAGCAGGAATTGAGAGCTACCCTTTGGGCCTCAACGACTTCAGCCCGCAGGGATTTCCCTTATTTAGGATAACTACGGCAGCCCCACTGCGGCGTCCTGCCTTGAGGGTCCTCCTTTGAGGCTGGTAGGGCCTATCGGGAAAGACGGAAAGTTGAGATTTTTGGAGGGTCCCTGATTTTGACACCCAGATGCAAGGACGAAATCTTGCACCACCGAAGAAACACCCTGCAATGAGGATTCACCTGTAAATACCAACAATGGTTTCCACGACTTTCTTGTGGTGCAGGATTTCGTACACCCCCAGAAGAATGAAGTTCAATTGGCCACGATTGAACCCAATTGCGTCATAGGATTTGAGACCTCCGCCCTTGGGAGGAGACAAAGTGCGACAACGCCGAATGGACTAAGCCTTAGATTTCAACCTTTGGCCACAAGGTGACCTTGAGGTGACAGCAAGAGGAGGTGGGTTACACGATGTTTGATGCTTGTACATCTCACTCCCCCTGGACAATGCTGGCCAAAAGGGCGCTTTTTTCAGTGAGGTCACTGATCATGGAGCTGGTGGAAGGTGGCTCCTACTACCAGCTGTTGCATGCGCCGCACCAGTTTCACTCTGCGCTTGGCCCGATCTCTCTCGGGCTTCAGGAGCAGCACGTCAGCAGCGTTTGCGCGACAGGGCCTGTCGTAGTTTTTGTTTCTGGAGTTGCGTGTTGGTTTGACCAGCATAACATTATTTTTCCCAAGTACTTGTTGGGAACTTGACGAGCATGTCCAACCACCGGGTCAGTTTACATCTCTTGCTCAGCCAATTTGTTGGAAGCGGCGTTGAACAGTTTCATGTTTGGCAACTCTGCAGGCGAGGCGGCAGACATATATATATATATAGAGAGAGAGGGGTTGACTTCAAATGGGGGACCCTCATATTTGTGGTTTTCCGGTTGTTCGCCTTTAAAGCGACCTGACAAGCGTTCCCTCAAAGAAAGGACACACCCAAACATAGCTCTAGGAAGGAACCTCTATCCTCAAAATGCCGGCAGCTTAATTGATGCAAAGGGTTCATGAAGGGTGAAGCAAACACATATCAACAGGTGGTTTTCTTCGCATGATCTTTGGTTTTGGTGTCCCTGTTGGGCAACTGAACATCATTTGTTGGGTCAAGTTTTCTTAAGTTTCCTTCTGGTGGGTCATGTTTCTGGATTGAATGCGTCGTATCCCACACCAGGCCTTTGTCGCATGATTGAATTCCCGGGTTCGGCAAATGGCCGTTTGCTTTTAAAGGTGTGACGTTGGCAAAGGGCTACATGGTGTCAAGTCCATTTCAACCCCCCTGTTCTGGGGTCTCCTTCAAAACGAGTCTATATTTTAGGGTCAGCAAATGAACCAGAATCTGAAAGACACCGGATAATTGTGACACCGGACAATTTGTGACACCGGAAAATTGGTGACACCAAAATCTGAATTTTGTTCTTTTGTGACACCGGAAAATTTGTCTCCATACGGAGGAACTTCGATCTTGGCGGTTTTCTCTGGCTCCCTTTCTCATAAATTTACATGAGTCAGGATACAGTTCAAAGAGAGGCGCAGTCCACACGAAAAAAAGCGGGCACCGCCTGGAGCCCACCTTGTTTGGGTATCCCGGTGGGTTGACATTGCCAGACTTATGCCACGCTTTCGGCTGCTTGGTTTTTGGTGTACCTGGTACCTTCATTTTCCTGTCCAAGCAGTCAACAGCTATAACTTCTTGCACGTCCCGCCCAGGCGCTGAATGGGTGTCCACCCTTGGTTTGTTTCCGTTTTGGGTAAGAAACGACACACTCAAATATGCGCGGTTAGAAGCCACTATTCAACATTGGTGGACATTCCAAGCTTTTCAGGGGTGCGTCAATACTCCCAACTTTTCGGGAGGGATGCGCAGAGATCATGAATCCCCACCTGTTTACCGCAGGGAGGAGCCTAGAAAAATATGATACTGACTGAGTCCTTGGTGGCTCCCAGCCATCCGGTTCCTTAGCATTTTAGAGCCTTCTCCTGTTTAGTGCTAGTTTCCATTGAACCGGCTAAAAGTTATTCACTTTTAGTGGGGGATCAGAAAACGGCAGCCCAGTCAAAAGGCCAGGGCCATTTTCTTTAGTCAAAAGGCCGTTCACTTTTAGATGGATTTCGTTCCATTTAGGGCCATCTATTTTTCCAAAAGGCCACCTACTGTGGATGCACGAAATCCTGCACCACTTGGAAACCATGGTTGAAACCATGGTGGGTTGGTATTTACGTTGGGGAATCAACATTCCAGGGTTTCTTAGGTGGTGCGAAATGGATTTCGCAACCATCCACAGTAGCTGTTTAACGCAAGAAATCCGCCGGAACTGGTGATCTGTTATACTCATTTGCCCAGGGACACATGGCAAGGAAAGCTGGATTGGGGGCACCAAGCAAAAGGGTGAGGGGAGGCGGGGAAACGCATGACTGTCGTTGAACTTGAGGAACTTGAGCATTCTGGACCCAAGCGCCACTGCGCTGGCCTTCCTTCACGCGCGGGGCATCGCGCACCGGGACATCAAGTCCCACAACGTGCTGCTGACGCCCTACCTGGAGGCGCCGGGTTCGGGAAATTTGCCGGCGACTTTGGTTTGGCGTTCTTGAAGCCGAGGTGGGTGTTTGTTTATGGGGGCCACCATTTTTGGGCTGTTTTTGAAGAAACTGCAAATGCATGTTCAGCTGGCTTGGTTTCTTTCCGGTTTGCGTGGTTGGGTGGTTTCGAGGTTTTTATTATTATTATTATTATTATTATTATTATTATAATATTATTATTATTATTTTTGCGGGCTAGGGGTTCGATGTTCGGGTTGGAGTTTTGAAGTTTGAGGGGTTGGGGGTTGAAGTTTAGGGGGTTGGGTGTTTGGGTGTTTGGGTGTTTGGGTGTTTGCGGGGGGGGGGGGGGATTGAAACATCCGGTGTCAACATCCAGCCCCCGCTGGTTTCAGGGTATGATGCCAACCCGCGACTCAAAGAAACACCATGGTCTTCACTCCAGAAGGCACGTGTTCTTGCAGAGGGTCCCCCTCCTCAACTACCAAACCACCCGAGTAGGCTCCAAACCACCAATTGAAGAGAAGCTGAATCATCTTAAAACCAGGTTTAGAGGTGTCCCTTGGTGTTGGGGTATCCCCAAAATCTGTTGTTTTCCTTCTGATTTCCATTTAGCCACAAACAAAACGGGGGGAACGCAAAGTCCAGAGACGAGCGACGTGTGAGATGTGGCCCCATCGTTCAGGTCAAGCTTTGCGACTTCGGGCTCTCGCGTTTGCGCTCGGAGCTCATGACGGGCACCATGCAGCCGGGACCCCGGCAGGTTGAACGCCGGAGAACTCCAGGCCACAAACCCTCCTGACCCCGAACCTTGGTTCTCCCGGCCATGAAACCCTACTATATACTCCCAACCCCGAAATGCAATCCTAGGCTATTTGGAGTTCAACCACGAAACGACCTACAGCCACAAACTGGGGCCGCCTCCGTGTATTGGTTTCGTTTGTTTCCTTGCCGGCAGGCGAAATGAAACAGGCAAAGCGGTGTATTTTTTTCCAGAGGGCCAAGAAAAGGGTGTTTCACAAGAGTTAAGTGGGCCCAGAAAAATGATGGGCTTCCTTTTGAACACGTGAACATTTGCCCAAGTTGTGTTTAAGCAATTAGACCTCGCTAGCCCTTGAAAGGGAGCCGACAAAGGATCCTGTGTGAATATTGGGTGGTTAAACACGTTGCAACGCAGTCTTGACGCATCTCTGATGACGTTGAAGGGGAATGAGTGTGTCTTTCTTTGAAGGTACTCTGTTTGAGATAAATTTAAAGGGCGTGTTTACATGGGTTTGTTTCAAAGTTAGGAGTGTCTTTCTTTCGGGGTGGTTTCAAGAGAAACTAAAAGGGAAGCCATTTCAGGAAGAGAAGACAAGGCTCGGTCCATTCTCCAGTCGATGGTCAATCCGGAAAGAAGTAGAGGGAATCACTAGATGTCAACCAAACACACCAGCAGTGTTTTTTTGTTTCACCACGTCCAGTGAGCCGCATAATTTGACCGCGGACATCTTTTTTAATAGACCTCCACTTGAATGCTCAACTCACTTAGCAAGAAAGATTCAACCATGCGTGTACGGGAGCTAAGTTTGCCCAGGAATAACCATTCTAGAGGTACCTTCCCCATTCTTTTCAGGGATCCTTCTTTCTAGACCTGCAGAAACCCAGGGAAAACAGATCCAGTGTTTGAAAAGAATCATGGTTGAAAAGAATGGTATCGGAATCAACCCCTAGAAGCACATATATATATATACATATGTATATATACATATGTATATATATATACATATATATATATATGGTCAGGCCCAACACAGTGTTTTTGCAGGTGTTTTATGAAGAAAGAAGGAAAGGTAGTTCATTGGGGGGGGGGGTGACCATATGTACATATATATATATGTATATATATATATATTAATATCTATACATATATCTAATCTAGTTATTCCAAGCTGCTGCCCTGCGTGGGCCAAAAGTACCGGTTTCAATTGCCCTGTGCTGAGGTTCGCAGGCACGCCCAACTACATGGCGCCGGAGGTGTTTCGGAATGCCAAGTACACCGAGCCTCTCTTAACTTGGTGGCCCCCAGCCATCCGCTGCCATTGAGCCCACTGGAAGTTAAGCCTGTAGCTGGGGATCTGAGGACAGCTCAGTGAAAAGAAAGACGGAAAAACCACGAGATAGTCTGCACTCCTCTCAGTCTGCAAGATGCTAAGATCCTTCCCCCTTGGGCGCAGGCTTGTGGGCATTGTTGGTTTTCGAATGGGGATAATGGATTAGGATTGGCCACTCCATGAAGAGACCAGTTAGTTGGAGCCTTTTGAGACCCCGTGTTTGGTGTTTGCTCAATGAGAGCGATGGATTTTTATTCGTGTGTGACACATGTTTTGGATCCTTTCTTCAGGCATGTTTGAACTAAGGTGAACGATCGCAATCACAAACGGGACTCAAATTGTTGGATGGCCATCTGTTTACAACAGCTAAGCGGAACAATGCAAGGGCCTTACAAGCTCCAAAACGTGTTGATGCCTCCTAAAGGTATGCCAAACTTGTGCCCAAACACCACACCTTTGGATGTTGCTTCAGTTTGGAGACCAACAGTTGGCATCCACATGTCTTATGTGGTTTTTGTTTTGGGGGGGTCCCATATAGGAGAGAGCTCAGTGGTTTTCCGCTGCTGCTGTCAAAGCCGCCGGACATTTGGTCTAGGTATGCTCAAACGCGAAGGCCACAAAGGAGGGGCCTCTAGCCCTTTTCACGCACATGGGGACGCTCATAGACCCCTCGACGATCTAGGGGTGTTTGTACATCCTTGTACAAAACCCTTGGTTGAATGACCCCCTTTTCAGGCTTGATGTTCATCCAGGCAGAGAAAGGGAATGAGAGGCAGAGATGCAGTTTGACAAGTAACTTGTAGGTACATCTTGTTTGGCAGTTCTGGAAATCTGGTGCTGGCGGTCTTGAATGTGCGGGGGCTGTTATCATTATTATGATTATTTTTTTATGGGGGTTCTGTTTCATTTCTTGGGGGTGGTTCAAGGTGATTCGAAAGAGAAGAGAAGAGTGAATCATCCATGTGCTTAAACAATTTTGGACAGGCAATAACAGGAAACATGTCGATTGTTTGACGTTTAGTTTCTGGGGTACGATTGTGTATAGGGGCATGGGCGTACAGTGATTGCGCGGTTGTGTCACTATAGTGGGGTGGTGGCGAAGCTGGAAGCAATGCAGTTGGGTACCCACAGAGCAATGAGTGTCCTATTTCTCCAGTACACAATCATGAAAGCCACACCTTCCAAATCTGGCCGGTGTTGCTCTTGAAACTGCCATGCTCGCTTTGAAGACTTTGCTGTTGAAGGCTTTGAACGCTTGGCTGTTCATATGATGTGCGGTTCGTGATTTGGGGGGATGTGGCACTTTGAAGTGCCTGGCCGCGATGGCTATTTATCGGGGGGTGAGGCCTGTAGCATTGGATAAATTTAGATCAAGTATTCGAATTTGCCAGGATCCGTACGGAAGATAAAATATGGAAATATTATTCCTGGGGGTAATGATTATTCAAATGCAAAGCGTACAAAGTGGGTTGGTAGCCAGGGAAGCCAAGGGGTATGAGCAAGGGCTATGTGCTTCCCATACAAATTTCTATTCGGGACCACTGTGTTGAGTTGGCAGGCTTTCCTCGCTCGTCAACGCACGAAAAGTTCGCCGGTCTGTTTTGGGCATGCTATTTGTGAACTGGTTCCGAGGGTTGTCAAAGTTCGAAACTGGGGCTGTTCCCGTACTTTGATACTGGTAAGATCTTGAGGCCAGCTTTTTCTTTTCGAACAGCCGGTAAATGTTTTTGTTTGTTTGCCAAACTGGGCTGGCGTAGGGCACCCTCAGTGGGTGTTTTAGAGGGAACCCAAATGGACAGGCACCATTTTTGGGGCCCCCAAAAATGACAGACACCCAAATGGCTAGGCAAACATGGGTGCCCAAAACGGAACCCTGGTAAATGAACCCATGACCAAACCAGGCGGTCCATATCCTGGTGGTGGTTTGTTTTTGACCCACACCCATGTGTTCCCACGCAAAATCGATGGATTTGGGCATCCCACAAATGGGTGGTGGTCCTTTTTATCTCTCATGAACACCAACAAAGAGGGAGAACCCACCTAAATCTACCACGGATTAGGAGTCTGTGGACGTCTTTGCCTTCGGCACGCTTCTGTGGGAGGCCATGGCGAGCGACATTCCTTTCGCCGCCTGGCGAATTGGGTCATACCCCTTGCCCTCGGCCAGTTGCCCAGCTGAGTGGCACCCTGAAATGCCTTTTTGAGAAATTGAGTGACTACCCGAGCCAAGTCCTTTTATTTGGTGCTCCCCAATTTGTTGAAGCGCCTTTTGGGAAACTGGAGCTAAGTACCCAAGCCACGTCCTCTTATTTGGTTGGAAACCCTGGTCAGGCTTCCATGCGAGGCTTCAGAACGGTTTGCGGAAGTCCCCCCAGTTGTGGCACGGCAACTGGGTCTTGGAAGAGTAGCAGAGACACGAATTCTCCTGAGCAAAACCAAAGCGCTGACTTTGGGGGACTCTAAACATTGTCTCCTTGTTTCTGCTTGGTTTCAAATGACCATGCTGTTTGATTGAGCTTGCTTTGGGTGGTCCGACTTGGGTGTGTGTTTCAACTGGATTCCCCATTCAAGCTGGTGTCAGCAATCTGCTGATGACTTGGCTCGTTGGATATTGGCACTGCTTCAGGGAACCATGCAAGGGGAGCCGCAAGGAAAACACAAGGATCACGAGTTCTCTTTGGTTTCCCTTTACTGGGGGCCAAATGTCTACCAACTTGAGTCTGGCCTAGCATTTGCTTCGCAAGCTGGAGAAGTGGGGGTTGATCAGAAGGTCCGATATACGTGGGATGACCATTGGGGAAACCCGCTGAACAGGTTTGATGGTTGAACTAAATGGGAAAAGTTTCGCATGGTCAATTGGGGGCCAGCAATATTGATCAACCCCCCTTGTCCAGGTCCTTTGGTTTCAAGTGATGCCTGAAGCATACGGATCTTGGATCTTTGGTGCCCGGTTTGAAGCGGTGCCACCTGAATACAAGGAGCCCACTGCCCGACTGTGTCATCCGGCTTAGCTAAAAGCATAGAACTCACAATTACCCTGGTCAATGCCGATTTTGGGCGGCAGCCTCGAAATCCTTTTGTGTGGTTCGACGAAAAACGGACCCCGAAGACGGATCCAATTCTTTGTCAACCAACGTCATTGGGCAAGGGTAGGGGATTCTGTTCGAGTGAAACGGCCTGTGAGGCTAACTTGGATCCAGCAGACATCCGCGAACGCGTAGTGGAAGGCGTGGGTCGGGCCGGCATTCCATGACTCGCACTCATGAATGGAGCCGCTTTGGGGTCCCCCCAAAGCAGTTTTCTCGAAGCTTTTTGAGTGTGGCAGTTTTCAGGAGCCGATCTTGGGGAATCCCCTTTGAAGGAAGAAGATCGTGGGATGGGAATCCCACTTTGGTACAAGCATGCAACCAATTGCTCGACAAACGGGCTCGCACATGAGCTAACGCGCCAACTCTCTGGCAAACAGACATGTGTTTGGCAAGACGTCTTTTTTTCCAGCGGTCAACCGGACATATTGTTTTTTCAGAGTGTCCTTTGACAGGGCCCCTTAAAAGATCTCCATTTTCCAGCCATTGGACACATGTTGCTTTTTCAACACCAAAAAGGGACACCACCATTTACAAGTTGCAATGTTCGATCGGTGTTGTCCTGCCTCCGGATCCCTGGAGATGCCCAGCTTCGGCCAAGCTTCCGCGCCCGGATCGCTGGCTTCCGCCCCGCGCCCCGCTGGCCTCCGCGCCCCGCGGGCGCCTCAGGCCGGATGCTGGAGATGCCCACGTGCCCGCGAGAGATGCAGCAGCTGATCCGCAGTTGTTGGGCGCTGGAGTACAAGGCCGCCGGTGGTTGTCCAGGTGGATTCGCTCGGTGGGATGTGCCACAAGGTCCCCCCTTTGAATCGCTGCTCCCTTTTCTTTCTTTTTTTAAGCCCCCCCAAATAAAACACCTCGGGAGTTTTATGGTTAGGGGTCGCCGGTTTGGGCCTAGATCCAGCAGTTGATAGTTTGCTGTTTAGTGTTGGACTTGTATTGGAAAGTGGGTCTCCTTTGATTTGGCGCAAAGACTGCTCAGATTGCAACTTTTAAGTAAGAACTTCGGAAGGGAGTGTCCCATGGTCAGTTTTATAAAAATATTTGCTTGTGTTGGGTTGTTCGGCGAACAGACCCTAATAATAGAACGTGGAGCCTTCTTGTTTCAACACACTCTGGAGGGGGGACCCCTAATAAGCATAATTAGGGAGCTTGGTGGAAAGCATGTGTAGTCTCAGGAGTTTAGTATTGGTCTAGTATTGGCCAATTTAAATTTAGTAATGCCGATTTTTTGCCGCGGCTCGGCGGAGTTTTATTATTAGGGGTAGGAGGATTGAAGCTTTGTGGCCTCTTCTGAGATATAGGGGCTGAGTGGTTCGCAGCGGCTCCGGGTATTGTTGGGGGGTTATATTCCGCTTTGCTTGGGCTTATTGCGTGTTTGGGTAAGGGAGAATGAATTGTCTCCTAGTCAGTGGAAGAAAGAAGCAATCTTGGTTTGGGAAGGGTGTCCTGTTAATTGGTTTTTCGACTATAGCACGCTGGACTACAGGCAATCAAGGGATACAAAGCAAGATAAGAAGGGGTGCGAAATCACCAATTCGGTGGTAACTATAATTTCTCCCTGCTGGCTTCTTTCGCTTTGGCTTAGTTTTACTCTTCACCTTTTGGGCGAGTTTGTTTGTTCTTTTTTTTTTAGAGAATCCAAACGGACATCGGCCCTGTCAAGCGTTGTCGTTCAAAACGCCACGCTCGGTGGAAGAAAGGTTTGTGGTTTGGGCAGGCCCCTTGGTTTCAAAGGCTTGGAACCGAAGCAGTCAAACATCGTCATCCAAATTGGCAGGCCCAACTTTTCGGCGCGCCGAGTCGCCGATTTCCGTTTTGACTAACACTTGGGCCTCGGCTTCTCCTTTTACCAAATGGGTGCCTGGGAGAAAAGGGAAAGCCACCATGTTTGGGGTCCTGCTTTGACACAGACCCAGTCCTCATTCTCACAAGAAGTTCATACGCTTGGTTCCGATTGCCAGGTTCGACCGATGATGGCAGACGTGCTCCAGCAATTGCGGGGTATGAGGGAAAGCACTCGGCGACCTAAAACTGCCGGGGCTCGGGGCAGGTGATGTGTTTCCATCGTTTCTCCCTCACATCTGTTTAAAGAACACCTTTTGGGCCAAGTTTTTATGTGAGTTGTTTTTTGATTCGGTGATGTTTGCAGCGGAACTCTAGGGAACCCTGGTTCGGGCTGTGCACATGTTCTTTCGAGGATCAGAACCTGATCCCGTTTGAAAAGAAAACAATAGGTGACTGTTCAAGCGATTGTGGCTTAAGAATGTTGAAACAGGGGGTTGGCCCACCCTGGTGTGCGTCCCTGAGTAAGCTGCCCCGAGGGCCAGGGAATGGAACATGCGCGTAAATGGTGTTGTTTTAAATTCGTTGGTGTTCTTTAGTTCCCGCTAAAACCCATTGACAGGGGGCGCGCCCAATTCACAATCTGTGTGTGTGTGTGAATGCTGGCATACTGTGCCAACGGACATCTGGCTTCCCACAATGTGGCCATGCATGAGAATTGAAGCGCAGCGTGCATGTAGACGGGTGGTCCCGACGGCCGTTGCTTTCTTTGTGCAGGGCGGGTGAAAAGCGCCCTGCAAATGAGCAGCCAAGACACACCCGCCGCTGATTTGACGAATCTCATGCTGGAAAAGTCGTTTGATCTGACAAAGGTCCGGGCAAATGAAATCATGACCTCGAAAATGGGGGGTTGTGACCTCACTCATAATAGGAAACCCGTACGTATGTTTGATTCGTTTGCCACATGTTTGGCAAGCTCACTATGATGTAGGTCCTTTACCGGAGTCCCCAGTTTCAGGCTGAAATGGTGAACATTTTCCAGATTTGAATTTCTCATCATTCAGATTGGTTTTTTCCGCCTACTTGAGGCATCTTGACTCAAATACCTCAGTTCGACGTGGCCAAGAGCGGTCTGAAGAGGTCTCGACAGGAAGTTGGCAAAATGGGAATCAAAAGTGATGACCAAGATTTGTAAGCGAACAAGGTCTGTCTCAAAATAGGTGACCCATTTTTTGGATGCTCAAGGGCAAAAGGAACCCAGCCACCTGGATTCCGGATTGGGGCTGCTATTGGTTTGAGAGAACCACCCACAAGCCGAGCCATGGGGGCCGCCATCTTGGCGCAGCGACATGGGACACGAAACTCTGAATGAAACTACCCCAACGCTGGGGGGGCCCTTCCAGGTTCCTGATAGATTTCACGGAGGGTTTTAGGCAGAAAGAACCCCCTTTTCCTTCCGTTGTTCCTTGTTGTGGAATTGGTTTCCCTTCAACATGCGAGTGGAACATTGGCATCGGTTGGATGGGCAAGTGCGGTTGAGTCCCCTTTCGACAGCCCCTCTCGCCTGAGTTTCTTGTTCCACATCGATACCGTTTAGGCTTCATTGAGGAAAAAACGGCACCGAATGGTGTTGCAACAGTGTCTTTGTGGTTTTGTTTTGCATAGTCACCCCATTTTTTTCGGATTGTTGCAACTGACATAGTTTGTTTTATGCTAGAACCAGTTCTTTCCCTACCAGTCCGTACAGCTGACGGGCCACAACCAACACTTACTAGTACCATTTTTCGCCCACTGCTTGTGTCCTCTTCCGAATTTTCAATAGAAACCAGCATACACCAAAAAAGGTATACCCTCGAAAACGCCCCACCTGACATGACAACAAAGTAGTGTGTGAGCATTGGCTCATGCTTCTTTCCCCCAGCTTGCTGGAAACACAGCCCAAAATGTTTTGATAAACAAAAACAATCACAGCAACAAAGCGCTTCCCCCAACCGGCACGCTCCACCTGGACCTCCTTTTCGACCAAAGTTTTTGCGAGGTTCGACGGCTGCTTCCGCTTGGATGCCCCGCGACTTCTCGAGGCGGTGCAGTGGCCAAAGAACAGTGCTGGATCATGGCGTTTCAGTGAAGCCCGGAAGTCCCGCAGTATCTTCCAGTTGCTTCAGGTTTCACCCTCCCACCTAACATGGAAGTGCACAGACCACTGTAGAAAGACGACTTTCCTCTTGAAAACTTCCATGTTGGTGGGAGGGTAGCATTATTACTTTCCCCTGTTGACTTTAAAGGGAATTCATGTCCGGGGGGCTGGGGCGCCTGGGTGTTGCCTCTTTGGGTGCTTCCTGTCGGCTTTGCGGGCTCTTGGGTATGAGTTTCGGGTGCACAAAATACATCTTTTTTGGGGCCCTTGGATGTTCAACAGGTAGGACAACTAAGCCACGTTACCCCAGTTACCCTGCCTACCGGTGCTTGCGTGACTTCCGTGGGCACAGCGTGCGCCTTCCGGGAATCGCTTCCGTTCAGTTTGCGGGCTCCTTCGATGCGCTGGAAGAGCTCAGCGTGGACGGTGAGATGCTGGACGCCTCTTGGCCGAAGAATCAAAGGACTCGTGGGCTACATCATTTTGTCCTTTTTGTGGAGCAGTTCCTGGAAAATCAACCAAAAGGCTGGCCTTTTTTTAAATGGCCACTGGGGGTTCTGGGGCAAAGGTCAGAAATTGGGGGTGTTTCCCCACAAGCTAGACCTATCAGAAATTTCCTTCTCTTTGAGCTCTCGCTTTGACTCTCTCTCGCAGATTAGCATGGAACTCAAGATGCCACAATTTCTATAGGAACCGGATGTGATGGCTGTTTCACACGTTTGGCCGTTTTGCCCAGGTTCCGCTGTTTCCAGTGTTCACTTGGGCGTTCGAAGGCCAGACGGTTGCGGCCATATGCGAACGGCGATGTCAGGTATGCTTTGCAGGATCTGATGTTCGGGGAAGTCATATCCTGGTCGCAAGGGCATGGTGCTTTTCTGTGAGAGGCGGCCTTCAGTTGCCGCCATTTCAAGCATGAAAAATCACTTGCCAACACGAGACCAATCCCATGTTCCGTGGCTCGTCCATGCGACCCTAGGGCTCGAAGAAAAGGGTTCTGGGATGCTGCATGGTCCTTTAGTGCAAGCCTTCTATGTGGTCTACACCAGGTCTCCGAATTCCAGAAGTCTTGTTAAATCTGCCGAGGCGAACGTGCTGGCGCTGCTTCCGAAACGTTGCCCCAGGCCGGGAACTGCGAAATGGTCTGAAAGGCACTTTCCCATGTCAGTTTCTCGTTTTCAATCCTTCATCCTTATGCCAAAAGAATCCTTTTTTGGTTTTGTTGTTCAAAGTCCATCCTTCATCCTTGTGCCAAATGCTGTGGTTGCACTTGTTCACACGGACTAGGATTTGGCATCTTCATACTCCGAAGGGGGCTGGGAAAAATTTCTGGATCGCTAAGCGACTTCGGAGTCAATGGTGCTCGGGGTAGCGCGGCAGCGAGGAAGACCAGCAATTGCTGAATGGCCAATATATGCTTGTGAAGTCCTGAGCCATGTGGCTGTGGTTGTCAAAGCCGTTTTGGGATCCCATTTTGGGATAGGTGAATTCACCACCCATTTTAGGCTTCCTATTTTAGTGGTTGGATTGGGATGTTCACTGGGGGTACGATTTGGCTTTTGACCCATGGCCAGTTGGTGGCTGAAGCAAGTAGAATAATGCTGAAATGGGCGTTTGACAAATTAGTTTAGATACATTGGTCAGGTTCATGAAATATGGAGTGGCTGATGCAAGGGGCAGAAGCATGCAACTCGACAAGGGGCCTTGCATTGACTGGAACCTCTTTTGACATGGTTTTGTATCTTTAGGTTCGCCACATACGGGGGAACACCTGACGCAGCAGGCCCCTACGTCTGTTCAAATTTGGCTCAATCGAGACTTAGGTGCGTGTGGATTTGCTGCTAGGTATGACAGTACGCCTTCCCAGCCGATTCAAGTGCCTTCAAAAACCCTCTCTGTCAACAAGGGGTCAAAGTAGATTGTCACAAGGTACACAAGGACCCGGGCGTTGACTTTGTGCGATTGAATCTGGTCCATGCTCTCGGTGAAAAGTGGACTCTCGGATCTGTCCGTCCCTTGTTTCGGGGATCGAAGAAAGATCAGGGGGCACGCTGACGATGTTTAGACACGTTAACTTGTTTTTTTGTCTTCTTCTTTTTTTTCTCCAGGTGTCAAGGACACACGAGGGTGTTTGTGCGATGTCATTCAAGTTTTGTCCAGCCCTAGAATAGAACCAATTGGTCTTGATTTCTCTCTTATTTTTCTGAGCAACCAGTTGTGCCCCCGGGTTTCTGTTAAAACTTGACTATCTTTGATTATGCTGTTTCTTCCTTTTGGCTTCTTTTGGTTGCCGGGTTCCCATCTTCCTCTGAGAATATGGGGTGTGTCTTGGGATGGTTTTTTTTGGCAGACGGGAACGCCACCAATGTTCCGGGTCTCCTGTTTCTTGCTGGTCAGCAGGGAATGAGGAAATGACCCTTTCACAAATCATGGCTGTTGTTGGGACATATTTTACATTTTTGCTTATTGTGGTTTAGTGGTTGAAATCCCCACCTAACTGCTAAAATTTGAGAATTGTTGCTCCCCAAACCCAACGTCAACCAAGAAATCGGTCCCTATGATTTCCCTTAAGGGATTCCCCAAAATTTTGACTGGGTCATGGCCCAACTACACCAAGACTCTGAGACAATGGGAGTTGATCAATATTGCCGGTTCCGGTGTTTTGGTTTCCATGTATATAGTGGGACATATCATGTTCTCAGCGGTTTCCCCAACAGATCCCATGTATCTAGGGTACCTTCCCCATTCTTTCCAAACATCCTTCTTTCAAAAAAGCCACCCAAAACCAGAGGAAACAGCTGGTTTTTGAAAAGAAGGATGGCTGAAAAGAATGGAAAAGGAAAAAACACATTTCGTTTTTTCAGTGGTTTCTCCAAAACGCGATCCCATGAGGAGCGTTTTGATCCACCCCCATCATCCCTTTGGATTCCAAACAAAACTCCTCGCTGTGGATTCCGGGCCGCCAGGCTGAGGTCCCTGGTGGTCTCCTTTGCGGCGGAGCTGGATGGCTTCGCGCCCGAGTTGGGGAGAAAAACCAACGGTGCCAACTCCAGGGCTGTGGGAAATGGAATCCACTCTGTGATACAAAAAGGGCCGAAGCCCAAACACTAACCCCATATAATAGGGGAGATTCCCGAA